ACAGAGGAACCCTTGAACAATCTGTTAGTTACGAACGACCTACTCAGCTCACCGTAGATCCTTACGCTACTAGAAGTACGCGAGTACAGTGACCTCAGTATGTTCACATACTTCTGTGGCATTCCTTCGCGAAGGAGACGAATCCATTAGGGATTCACGGTCAACTGAGTCGAAGGCTCCTTTTAGGTCAAGGAACACGACAACCGTTGGTCGATGGTGAGTATGGCGCAGCTCGAGGATTTGACGCGGTGTGAAGATTTGATCGATACAAGGGTGACATGGTCAAAATCCGGATTGGTGTTCGCGGATACTTGTCTTCTTCAATGATGTAAAACGTCGAAGTATGACAGAGGCTAAAAATTTGGTGACAACTGGGATGAAACTTGTTCCTCGGTGGTTTGCGCAGTCGTTGTGAACCCTTCTTAAGAATTGTAATGATCGGTGACTCTCTCTCCAGGATAACGGAATGCGCTCCTGTGTCAAGATGTTACGCATTAAATCAGTAATGGAGTCTACGAAGTCATCCCCCCCCAGTTTGAAAAGAATGGAGGGAAGCCCGTCAGGTCCTGTTTGTTTTCCGTTCTTCAAGGCGTCGATACAAGATCCTACTTTTGCCTTAGTAGGAGGTTCATATGACACTGCTCACGGAGCCTCAAGTACAGCAGACGATAGCGACTGGCCAGCTGAACTGTTCGTTGAAGTACTTAACCCACCCGTCAACCCGTTGTTCACTACTGTGAATAACTTATCCACTTTTGTCGCAGAATATTTCATTAACTGTGGTTCACCGACATTCTGTGTTGTGTATCAGCTGGAACAGTCTTTTACTACTCCCTGATGCAGCTGCTACTTTCATTTCGCTAGCTATTGTTGCTTACTATTTTTCACGGTTGAGGCTCCTTGAGGCTCTTTGTGAGGTGACGTTACAGGCGCCACCTACTCCTAGTTTGATCCCGGGTGGGTGGGATTTGCCACTTTTTCCCCACCATGGCTACAGGCTCGTCAGATATCCAAAGCCCTCGATCTCAGATCCACAAGCAATTCTCGCTGCGGAGTTCACTGCTCGTCTAATCCGCTCCCACTGTTCATTCACAATACCATCCTGCAGCGCTTTTAGCTCTTGCCCTAGCGTTG